ATTTCACGACTACTGCATATCGCGAATAACTAGTTTTTCACCGAGTTTTACGCCACTTCGCGTGAAAGGGGTCTCACGCGCTGGTGTTGGTGAGCGTTATATTTTATTAGGAAATTGTACATATTGAAGTTTCACCCGTTTTACGTGAAGTGGCGTTATAAACTGTGGAAAAAACGATATTATATACCGACTATTATGCAGTAGTCGTGAAATATATTTTCCAGTAGCGTTTTTCATATCACGAGTGAAACTTCAATACATAATTATATTTGATATCGGGGCATCTATATGAGGTTATGGTGTAGAAAGTAACTGTTATGTATGATATTAAATATTATATTGTTGGAGTTTCACACGTTTTACAGGGAGTGGCGTAATGCTCCATGTGAAAAACGTGATATGAACTGAATTGTGAATACCTTGCGAATTACACCGGACAAAGCACCTAATTGCACGTAAAACACACCACGTGTTTTATGCATTATTCACTGCTTACATGCGTTATCAGCAAAGTGGAATGTGAGTTACGTTTTTCATATCACGAGTGAATTTCCATTATATTTTATGAAAGGGAATTGCATATCAAATTGGCACTCGGTGAGCGTTAGTCGCTTTTTATGATAGTTGATATTAGGATTAAGTCGGAATTTAGCACGAGTAAGTCACATCGTCTTCAGTGAACTCGTCCGACTTCACAGTCCTGTCACGGCTATTCACTCACCTGGTGACCATGCTCCCTTCCCCGGGTAGTCTCAATGCTGCAGTGCAGCGAGAGCCGGTAGCCTATCGACAGTCCCAAGCGTTGCCAGATGAGCCTACGCCTGTTGTGGACGGGGAAGTGTGTCGAAAGTAAGATGAACGTTTTGTGTAGTATGTGTAGATAGATCAAGTTAACAGGTTCCTGTTCTTGAATCGGTGGATCCAGGCTGAGATAGCCCATCAGATAGGAGTAGAGGATCTGGATGAGTTGTGTCGGGCTGTGGCGATGTGGACGAGAGCGACTGATCGATAATAGACTGATGATGATGATTACGATGCTCTTTTGACGTTTTCTTTGTCATGATGTTGTTGAGTTTATGGTCATTGAGTCGCATATGAAAAGACAAATATAGAAGAGAGTGAAGAAGTTACATTTTCAACTGTATCGGTGTTGAGTTTGTATTCCCACTGTCTCACCGCCTGTAGTGCGAATCAAACCGTTATGCAAATATTTTTTCAACATATCGTGAGTTAGAAGAGTTTATCAATCAGGACCGTTGAGAGGGATAATGATAATGATAGTGGGAACCAATTGACAACGTTCCGTTTTTATTATTAACTAGTAAGTTGTGGGCGTTTGGACCCTGCCGACCGACCAGAACCGTTAGGCAATCAGTTCGTTTCGAGCCGTGGAAGCCAGGTGAGAGGCGAATAATTGTGGTATATCGGAAGGACTGAATCCACTAGATTAGTTGTACACTTTGCGCAACTCCACCATGGATGTGGGAATCGCCTGACTGCTACCAGAGTCGATTCCTAGGCTCTTGTGTAGGTTGGCTATTCCCAAATCAGACCAGGGTGCTCACTATCCCTGAAGTGATTTCAGGAAGTACCGTGATAAAAATCAGTGGATTTTATCAGGTGTCGGGGTATCGGTTGATGAACTCTAAGAACAACACAACAAGGGAACTCGAGCTAGAGCAACCAATACTACGACCCTAGGACAATAACAATAAGCGCACTACCTGCACTTAAGTTCTGTACGAATACCACAGACTTAGCAGCACAGTAATCGATATTGGGCTCATTCGCTATACTGAGGAAGGCGAAGGTTTGATGAGATAACAAGGGTGCAGGCAAACTGGACCCACAACACCTCGTCCCCCCCAAAACCTGAGCCAACCCCCAGACTTCACAATAATAAGGACGATGACAATAGCTGACGGAAAGATAGAGTCTAGCAAAGGTCACCGAGCCACGATACATGAATATCGAGACTACGGGACAAAGAATAAGCAAAAGATCCACTTTCCTAATTGGGGCCACGATAGCTCCAACGAAGTCATTCACAATGGACCGGATCGGGGCAGACATCGAGTACAGAGTGAGAACAGCTGACATAGAACTCTTCGTCGTCCCCCCGACTCGAGCAAAGTCGGAACATGTATCGATATCCTCGGGTCGTGCAACATACCAAAGGCAGAACAAACGGCTATAACCGATACCATAAAGTGGGGGAATCAGCACAACGGTAACCACTTACAATCCATACTCATAGATAAACAAGCCACCAGTGTGCTCACCAGCAAGATTCCCATAGCCGTTTCAACGTAAACCAGTGTGGCGCGACTCCTCCAAAAACGAGAGAAACGGTGAGCACCTCAAGATACTCAGTGCGCATTCCGAGAACATCAGTGTTCATCCGAATCTCACAACCATTCCTTCCGAGATCAAGGGCACAGAATCCAGCCATGCAGGCGTCCCTGCAAGCATCGAATTCGAGCCCCCCCAGTCGGATGCGCCTATTCCAAACATCTTGTGCGCGCGTGCACGTGCCATCCCCAGCTACACGTGTGCACAGCCAAATCCGTTGCACACTAACAGTCATAACCCACATACTTCCTCCACAGCCACCACGACCATAGCAATAATACCGACCAAAAAGTAGAGATAACAGGCATCAATATAACATAATCCAATCTCGGGAAACCAAAATAAGATAGCCCCAGCTCTCCTCCCCTCTAAAATGTTGGCCACAAGGGACCTCATTTTAAGACCGGTCAAGGGGACAGAGCCAGACCATAATAGAAGCCAGCAAACGGCGGGTCATACTCGATGACATCAACCGAACAAAAACAGAAGTCAGCAAAGATAGTGAAGTAGGCAATAATCCTACTCAGCGTAACCACCACGGGACGTATAACGCTCGGGGGAGAAACGCGTGGGTGCCCTGGGAGTACGCATACTCCGACGAGGCGCTACAGAATCTTCTACCTGCTCTGGACTAGAAGCCAGCACATCAGCGTAAGTGCGAGCAGACAAAGTCGAACCACCACTACGAGCAGAGACTACCGGAGTGTCTGTCGCGGCCGGGGAGCTTTCCAAAGCAGGGGTAGTAGGGATCTCGTCAGGAATTACGAGATCAGTAGAGGACTCAACAGTCGCTTCCTCTACTTGTACCTCAGGGGCAGGTGCTGGATCTGGACCTCGAGTCAACGGTAACGTCTCATCGGTACCAGAAGATGTTGTAATCGAGCTCGACGAAACTAGCTGAGACGTATTCCTAGAGGGGTCTGTAGAGACCGGGGCGTCCGAGACCAATCCAGAACCCAGACTTAAAGACGGTGTCTCGCCAGAGTCGACCAAAGTTGGCGAAACAGAGAGCAGTTGCTGACGCTGAGCTAGGGTCAACACAGAAGGGGCACTTAACGTTTGCCTTGAGGAAGGCCCAGAGTGACCTAACAACTGCTCGAAGTCGGCTGCAGGGGCCGACACTACATGGGTGGGAGTGGAAGCCGAGAACGGCAGTGACCTTCTAGAGGCACCACATTCCTGCGAAGCAGCATCCAGTCCCAACGAGGGAGAACCACCAGGGGGCTCCAAGCCAGCAGGTACCACAGTAGGCCCAGACCTACCAGTAGCCTGGGGAACCGGCCCACTCGTGGCAGGAGACCGGAGAACGGCAGACCCTAATTGTACAGGAACTGGAATAGGGGTTTCCAGTCTCGGCACACCGACCTGTGCAGAACCAGACGATGGCGCCTCCAGTCTCGGAAGCAGATCATCTCGTCTTTCTGCTAGAGGGTCAAGACCATCACCATCATACACATAGGGAATGTCGACCAACCGAAGGTTAGCAGGAGCTTCGACGTCCGGGACAACCGAAGATCTAGCAGACCGTCTAGAAGCAGCCGAGCGAACCAACTCATCACGAAATGGAAACTGCTCTATACGCGGCCCCTCTTCTACAGGAGGATCCAACCTAACAATGCCAAGCTCTACCGGTGATGGGGAACGGCCCAGGACTTGGAACACAAAGGCCCTTTGGCGCAAGAAGAATCAAACTACGAACGGGTGTTTAGTTTATATTCAGTAGTCGATAGGTCAATCTCATCAACATATCCGTTATCGAAAGCAATAGTAACAATATTGGGCGAGCGAGACCTCACGATGACTCCAGAGAACCATTGTCGCTTACGCAACACGATATAGGCTACGGATATGCGTTGACCAATGGCAGCGCCATCACGCCCCCCTTGTGGTGTACCACAAGTATCAGAGGAGAGCCTCCACTCGATACTATCCAAGCGTACCATAATAGGAGTATCGTTGTTACCATCGAGGAACCATATCCATAGTTTGTCAGTACGGTCGCACGGATCATAGGTCACTCGTGCAGCTCGCCACTCAGAATCTTTCTTAACGTCGATATACATACCTTCTCTAGAGACCACAGCAGTGCCCAGCTCGTTACCAGCATAAGGATAGAGCATAACAATGTTGTAGAGGTTCTCAGTCGTTACCAGTCCATTGACCAGTCGTACTCTGACCCGGCGCCCAGAGAGACACTCGATGATATGTCCCATTCTGAAGCTCATGCTCAACTTTCGACCACCCCCGATATGTACGAGTACACAATCACCAGGTCGATAGGAACCTCGAGCATTACCATCTCGGGCACGCGAACGACATTTCTGGCCAACGGCAATGAGAGATCGATCCTTCAGGTCACGCCACAACCATTGCATGAAACAGCTCCTCACCGCTCGAACGCGATTTGGACAAAGGGACTCGTGACCATTGGATGACTCTCGAACCACCTCAATACAACCTCTTGAGCGAGTGCGTCCCCAGTGGAGAGTGTCGGGAGTGATGATATCCGCCCCCTGCTCGGATACATAGAATTGGCCGAGAGGACGCGTGTTGAGCAACAGCATGACCTCCTCCAACAGCTCATCCTGCTCGTCAGGATTGGAAGGCCATCGTCCTCCAACATGACGTAACATCACTCGGAGTCTATCACTCGCTATACCATGTAGCTTCTCAGATCCCAGCTCCCATGGAGCTCGGCTGGAGATAAGGTGCACCTTCGCATTGATCTCAGAGCCGACTTTGGAGATGAAGTTCTCCTCGGTCCGAAAATAGGCAGCACGATCACATACGACGACTCGAACCGATCCCGTTCTCAACTTGAGTAAACGGAGAACCCTCAGAGCTTCGCTAGCCGATTCATTGGCCACTCGGAATAGACTGATGTGCTTACTATAGAGACAACACGCCGACATCACCTTCCACTTATCTCCAACAGCATAGAAATCGATGGCCGTCTTGTAGTAGGTCGGCATCTGGGCTAGGAAGGCATCGCAATGTCCAACGGACGGAAGTTGGGCCCAATCCCGTTTTGCATGCAAGATCCTGCAAACGTAGCAGTGCTCCACTAGATCCCGCATTTCTCGACCACAACCGTCCATATGATAGTCGGTACATCTCGACAGAGAATCTCGTACTCCTGCATGTCTGCAACTCCGGTGACCATCGAGAAGGATCTTTCTCCGCACAGCAGCAGCACTGCGGGGAATGACATATCTAAACACTTGTGTACCGAGGGGAGTACCAGACCGGAAAACCACTAGACCATCGTCATCACACAATAGAGGACCACAAGCGGGGCCTTTGCCGTCTCGGATCTCTTGACATCGTTGATCTTCAGCTTGAGCATTTGCCACTACCGATCTTAGATCAGTCTCAGAGAACGTAAATGGGTACGTGATGCCGTCAGCATTCCCGCCCCCCTGTGCATTCCACTTGAACAAGTGGATGACAAAGCGCA